CCCCAAAACCCCAAAACCCCAAAACCCCAAAACCCCAGAATGCTAGTTATTATAAAAATAGGCAAATTATGAAATTAAGATTAATTAATATTCTGTAATATCATTAATGCTTGATTATCTAAATCAATGCATCGAAGTTTAAAGATTACTCGCTTATGAGTCTTTTCTTTTTTCAACATTAGTGCCGTAGACTGAGAATTCCAGCAATTTTGAATTTGATTTTATATCTGATTGTCTGGCCTTACTCTATTATTTTGAATTTTTAAGTTTCTACCTATCCTAGACTAATTTTGAATTCGGAACTTTGCTTGTATTGTTTGTTTAGATTAGATCATTACTTCTTTTTCGGGTGTTATCTTACAGCATTCTCTTTTTGTAGTTATCACTTTTAGTATGTGAAATTTCTTGATTTAAGAAAGAGCCGATAGAATTATTTTATTCGAGTTGCACATTGACTTAAGGTTTCAAACTACTCTAAGGCTTCTGATTATGCTCATTAGATTACTTCTTTTCCGTTATAAATTAATCCACTATCTAAGGAAGCTAGCTTTCATTCATTACTGATAGTAGAGTGGCATTAAGGTTTTAGGTAGTATCAAGAGCTATAGTTTCTTCTTGATTGATGTTATTTTGCATACGACTATTATTATTGTTGTTTTATTTCGAAGGCTATTTAATTGTTGAAAGCTATGATTGGTAGGATTAGAGAATTAATGGATGAGGTATTTTAACCTTTTAATGTAAGAGGACTCCATCTAAGGAATCAACATTGATATGCTCATTTTTAACAGCAATTCTATCTCTAGTTTTTCCCATTTGACTTTTTACTCTTTAATTTCTGGAGTTTATTATAAGTTCATTATCAAATGAGTTTTGATATTCATGAGGTTTCATTGATAGGAATGATATGTTATTGGAATTCCTTGTAAAATGATTATTAGTCTGGACATTAAAAGCATTAATATTGTTTTCTTTGTAAATATCTCCATTCATTGTTTAATTAGGGTTGTAAATACTTCTCGAAGCACTATTTTTCATTATCTTCTCTGCTTTTTTCATTTTCATTACCAACTCTAGATTCTTTTTAATTAAAGATGGGTTGGCTCTAGAGTGTCTAGGTAGATCTGTCTGTTTAAGCTATCTAATATTTTTCAAAGGATCAAGCATGTCATTTAGATTGAGATCCTTAGTTGTTAATTCCTCCTGAGGAAGCATTTACACTTGAACAATACTGTTACTGCTAAATAAATTGTTGTGCCTTTAACCTCCTTCTCCAGTTTAGATATTCATTGATGCTTGATTTATTCCACCTGGCCCATATCCATTTGGAGTACGTCTAATATGCTTCATTAAAACTGTTCTCTTTGTGGATGGATCTTAATTTGAATATTGTGTGTTGAGATTTCTCAAATTTCCTGCTGAATTTGTAGAGAAATTCTTACCCTAAAACGATATCTATGTTTTATAGTAGTCAAAAGTTGCTCTAAACTGAGTTCTTGATTGCTAATGAGATACATCTTGTGAGGTAACACCCCCACTAAACATCTTATCTATTATTTAAGGCTAATTAAATTGCTAATTGGGATCAATCTCTAATGTGCTATCGATATAAGACTTCTTAACAATACTAGACTCACAATCATTCTCATTTGTTGGAATAGAATTTTTTTCGTTCTAGATTGTCAAATTCTGAATTTAGTCGTTCTTGATGGTGTTCTTATCTGGACTTCTAATAATATTCCTTTGAGATCTGTTTCTGTGAGAGGATTGAATGATTTGAGTTTGTGATTTTTTCTTTTCTAATCCTATGCCAACTATATCCCCAATTGAGCTATTTTCTAAATTCCTTCCCTAATACTTTGAGACTATTGACTTTGAATCTTTTCTGTTATGAACGAATGTCCTATTAAACTGATTAATTTACTCATGATCCTCGATCAAGAATTTATTATCCCTAAATGATTTGTCTGGCCCCATCACACTTGAAAACATTTATTCATCCGTATTTCTTTGGTTATCATTCTAGGAATTATTTACTGATGAATAATTTTGTATAGCAATATTTTAGTTGTATCTTGATTGTGCAGTTAGTAATTTGTTTTTGAAGTTATTCTTATTTGAAGGAGAAATCAACTGAATTCTTCTAAAATTTCTGTTATTAGTATTAGCTGATTTGGCTCTAATAATAATCTTTTAGCTTTGCTCATGATCTATTTTAAGTTCAGTAGTCTTCAGAACCAATAGCTATGCCTATTTTTTATATTTGCTAGCATATTAATTCAACTAATAGTTGTCATCTTAAGTTCTTGGTCTATTCTCATCACTTTTGATTAATTCTGTATTTTTATCATATATAATTGGAGGTCTTTTTAATGATCTCTTTGTGTGAGCAATATTTTTCCCGCTCGCCTTAACCATTAGTAGTGCTTCTGTAGATATTCCATTATTAAATCCATCATTATTATTATTGTTGTCTAAACTCTTTAAAGAAAAAATTTTAGGATTCGTTTTCTCTATGCTAGTATGCTACGTTGGCTTCTTCTGATCTAAAGATACCTTAATAGAAATTTAGGTGACATTAATATCCTTCGCATCTTCTATGTTTTCTCTCGAGTCATGTATTGATAAGCTATTCCTCTATATTGGAAGGGAAGGCGTCTTGCTATCTTTAGCCTTTTCAAAGCTTTTTTATAGAGACATTGATTAAGGATAGACCTCTTTAGACATTTTCATATTTTGATCTAAGCTGTGAACAATTGAAGAATTGTTCTATTGTGATTCTTTATCAAATATTAAGTCGATTTTCTTTAATTGACTCATAGATGCTTTGCTTGTGAATTCTCCGGACACTCTTTTCTTTTTCGAACCTTACCCTTTTTATTTTTCAATGTTTTCGTTAAATGAGCCTCTCATTTATAATTTTGAGTTTTCTCTGCTTTCTAATTTTTTAAACACTTAATCTGGATCAGACTAAGTTTGATTAGAACTTGCTCTCCTCATTTTGCTCAAGAGATTTCTATCTTTTTTAAAAGAGTAAATGACTTTGTTTGTTCTATCATTTAAGGATTTCTATTTTTATAATTGATTTTGAATATAAATCTAAGACTGATTTTGTGAATTAGATTGCAACGGATGCTAGTTTTAGGAGGTTTAATGAGAATACTAGTTTGATTCAATATTTTAATATGCATGATGGTGCTAAAGATCCTGAAATTCCATCAATATAGATGATTTAGGAGTCCATTCATGGGCTACAAGTTGATGCTAGTTTTAAACCAAATTTTCTAAATTAAAAATATCATCTTCAGTATTTTCTATAGATTGATGTCCTAAAGAATTAGAATTAGAATTCTTATTATTTCCTCTTTTTTAATGAAGCTCCTTCATAAAATTTCCACTTTCCTCAATCCAAATTCTATGTTTTAACTTTAGTGGATCATCCATAGATATCTTTAGCACATGCTAACCCATGCTTGATTTATAATTGATCATCTAAGTTTTTGCACATTCTATTTGTAATCCAAGACCTTTTCTAGTTGTTGTAATGAAAATAGGCTATGATATTTCATTATTTGTACCATTCTAGCCTAACAAACTTGCCCTCTTTAGCTTAAGAGCTATTAATCTCTCATTATAGTCAGGAATTGCTTTAGAGTCAATATTACATGTATTTAATGGCTGTTGGAGTTAGATATTATGCTTTAAATTCTATTGGTAATTATGTATTTCTTAACTCTACTTCTTTTTGTTTCTGAATAAACTCAATTCTGTTTTATTTTTATTATCTAAAGAGAAATTTCTGGTATGAATCTGATTAGAGATCTATTATTAGTGAGACTGATTGTATTATCTTATCTATTCATGAATTTCTAAATCTTAAGACCTGTTTTGTGAAAGATTATGATGATAATGACTCTTGAGGGCTGATAAATGAGTGTGATTGTTGTAAGGAGATTTTTTTAATCTTGAACTCTCAAAACTGCAATCACTTCCATTCATATCAAACTTTGGCTAAGATAATCGATTGGATCTATGCATTGTTTGGCTTCTCTAAGAGTTATTCATGTATACATTTCTATCAAAAGTATCATTAAAGACTGAACCTCTTTTACTTTTAAAACTTAATTCACCGAATACTGTTTTATTCAAACCTTGACCCTCTATTTAGTTTAGCACATCAAGATACGAGTCATTAATATCCTTGGGTCTTGATGAATTAGCAATTCGTTGATTCATATTTCTTGAGAAAATTTCTTTCTTCCTATTCTCCATTGGATTGATTGGTAATGGCTATAAAATATATTCTTTGTCTTAATCTTTGATTTAATCAACAGGTTTCAGAGTAATACTTTAATATTTTGAAATCTAATTGTTTTTTTTGTTATTTTAATGGTTTCTACTGTTTCATTTATTGACAAAATCTTTGTCTCTATTTAGATTAAGTGAATGCTAAGTCTTTGGTCTCACATTTTACGAAATCTATTAATAGTGGCGGTCTTGATACTATCTATGAATTGAATGGGTCATTTTTATTTTTTAAAAAGGTTTCTTATAATTTCTCATTATATTGTTGTCAGTCTTATTCTAATAAATAATTATTCTATCTTAAGGTCGAAATCCACTTCAGGACTTCATATTTCTACTTTGCTAATCTAGACTTTGCCCACCTTAAGAATCTAAGTTGCACTATTGGCTTTCTTCCCGTGCAATGTAGTACTTTTATCCTGAGAATGTAGAGTAATAGCTGTTTTATTTATTTTGAAGTAATGGCATTTTAAATTCTTAGGTGTTTATTTAGTCTGACCCATCATTTATTAGTAGAGCCCTTTGCTCAATCAATCTCTTACTAGCATTCTATTCATGCGAATCCATGTAATTAGCTTCATCTATATTCATATATGTTTGATCAGAATTTTCCTTGCTTAATTTCATTTTAACCCTAATCTCTCTTTAGCTTGTCATCTAAATCAATTTATGAAAGATTATATATTACTTCCTGAGCTTATCCTCTCATTGTTCTTTTGCTTTTGACATGAATATTAATGTTATCTATCATAAGTGGCCCATGATAGTCCTCATTTCTAATTTAATCTTGATGAATTGCTTAGTTTTGGACACCTTCAAATTATTTCATTTTTTCGACCATACTACTTAAATTAGTTTAAAATTCCTTTGAATTTTATCTTTTTTTTTAGAATTTATATTTAATCAATCTCAATAAAAAAATTTCTTAATTACTTAGATATTTATTTTACTCAAAAACTATTAAAATATCAATCAATTTGATTTAGGGGTTTTGGGGTTTTGGGGTTTTGGGGAGATCGGAAGAGCACACGTCTG